ACTTAAATTAAACACCAGCTCTTGGTGAACAGGCTGAAAATCTTCACACCGTGTAATCTGTTGAGAACAAAATGACACGACAGTGGGGGCTGGATTCAAACTCAGGCCAAAAGTCTCCCAACAGCGGCTGTCTCCTGGTACCTCATCCACATTCTTGAGGCTGTTCTGGGGGACACAGCGAACCTTTTTGTAGAGGCACGTATGAATTTGCCATCCTGAAGGTTCTGGGCTACCTGTGCAACCCCACTATCATTCCGCCAGCAGTGACAATTACACTAGCAACAAACAAGTCTGGAGAGGAAGAAGAGAAGTGGTTTGGGCCACCACCTTTAAACTCTTCTATTTTGGGTGGGGTGGGGGGTGGATTATTCCCTATCCGGCACCTGCTGATCTTCTTCATGAGTACCAAAGCAAGTTTAACCGACTTTGTGTTAAATCTGTGATTTTTATTTTATTTTACTCTCTCTATAAAACATAAGTTGACCTGAATAGAAAATGAATCTAGTTTTCTGACTGTTATCACCCCGTGTGTCCCTTTGTTCCCATAATTAAACCTGGAGGAGTCCAGCTGAGGTGTCTTACCTTCTTGCAGCTCTTCTCTGTTTTCTCGCTCCTCGGCGTTGCAGTTTGGGGGATTAAGTGGTTGATAACAGGTAACAAAGACAGGCTGCTCAGGAAGAAATTAAGCACCCGAGAGACTCGGAGCTTCTGGCCGTGAAAATAGGCGATATACGAGAGCAGCAGCCCGGCTGTGAAGAATAAGGCTGCAACCATCGCAAGGTCTCTCTGAGCAAAACTCAACACCATGTTGGACTTCTTATAAAGGTACGTAAAGCTTGCTATTCCCAGGAAAGTCCACATCTTTTTTCTTTTTTTTTTTGATTTACAAAAAAGTAAATTAAGGCTAAAGTTCAAAAGTAGGAAGAAGAAAAAAAAGGTTTTAGGCTGACAAAAAGGTTCAAATAATAATTGTTGTATTGTATTTTTTTTTTTAGGTTCCTCTGGAGTAAATTAGTGAGCCCGGAACCAGCAGGTATCTTTGTAAGTCGTGGTCACCGGGTCACAGACAGCCGGAGTGATGCTGCTGAATATTTTATGACAATGACAAACACGGACCACTTTCGATTGGCTGCTTTCACATTCCGCCGCTCCCATTGCTCAGCCCTCCAATCAGGACAGACGTGATGGTGAGCAGAGCTCACGCTACGAGCTGATTGGTTGATCACGCCGGCACCGGGCCTCTTCTGGCCTGCTGATTGGACGGCGGTCCAGTAGGATGGTAGTATGATTTGATGTCAGTGGAAAAGGTGCGCTTTCTTTCTTTTCTACAGTTCAGAGGCTGAGTGGGAGCAAAGAGTGTTCATGTGGGACAGGAGTCCTGCTCCGCGTCACTCATAACCGCTGCCCACGCGCTCTGACCCGAGCAGATAAGAAAAGCCGCCAGTACGGAGTAAATCACAAATATAACTAGCCTGGACTAAAACACACCATAGTGAGAGTTTTAACGTCGACCGTCTTCACGTCAAAGCGGTACTTCAAAGTCCAGGTTTAAACCCTGAATCACACGCCCTGTTATCCGGGAAAAGGTGCAGAGTGAGAGCTCTTACTGAAGACAGCGCTGTCAGCGCTGTTTACGTAATACACATCCAATCAATCGATCAATCAAATCGATGATATCACACAGCTGGAGAAGCTGTGATAATGAGTCCTGTTTGTTTGGGTAGGATTAAAAAGCTGCTTCAGTCTGTAAGAGTTCAAATTATATAGAAAAAAATATGAAGAGTTACAAAGTGTGATGTTCTAATACATACAACACAGTCTGAGTTAAAATGCCTTCATCTCACATGTAAACACCTAAGTCAGCCTGCATATGTTAGATTAGATCTTTATTAAAGTCTGTTTTCATGCAGAAATGCGCAGTATTTTATAACTCCAGCCTCTAAATCATTTGCTGCATTTCTCACTAGAAGTGTTTTTTTTAAACACTGCTAATTAAAACATGTCCTTGTAACTGTCTGAAGGTCTTACTTGGGACTAATAATAGTGTCTATTTCACTCCTTTTTTCTTAAATATTTCAAACTAATCAAGAAACTAACTACTAGATCAGTCCATAAACTACACCAACACATAACAGGTAAGAGGTATTTATGCTGTTAGCTTCAGCTCTGGAAGGGGCCTTTGTTTTTATAGACTTATGAATACTTTTATTGTGTAATTTTAGTATTTTTGTGTGATTAAACACTCTGAATATTACTTCCACTAGTGTTGAATCTATAAAATGACTAAATTGTTAGTCAATGATTAATATATCTGAGCAATGTAAATTCACCAGGTACACACTGTGCTATAGAAACCATGAAATAACAGTGTATGACAATAATAACGCATGCCAACAACTCCTCAAACACATATTGACAACATTTTTATTGAATTTAAGTGTCACTTCAAAAGTTTGCGTGACTACAAATGCATGACAGGACTAAATAAAGTACAGTGTTGAAAATGAGTGGGCTTTCCTACAAGTAAGGCATCACCTGACGGCCAATGCTGCATATGCAGAGGTGTTTTGATCATATGTAGTGGTTAAAGACGGAGTCATACTTTTCTTGCTTCCCTGATGTTACTTCTGGCTCACCGTTCTGCTCGATGAAATCCTGAAATAACAAAAAGACACATCATGTAGAGTTGCTACAAATATAAACTCCAGTTTAAATATAAGCTCAAGCTGAGTCTTACCTCCATCTCCTCTAAGGTGGCAGTACCATTCTCCACCTTCTGTCCGAGGCCGTGACTAAAGCTTGAGTACCGCTCCTGTTTAACATTACACATAAATTGCATTTTCCTATTAATATTATTAACGTATACTTTACACTCAAGTAGCTGCACACATACCTGCATCATACTAGCAATAACCCCATCCTCAATGATGTGAACGGCGTTCCTGAGTCCTCTTGCAAAGGCGTCCATGACTCTGATGTGACTAATGAACAGGTCCTCGAGGTCAGTGGACTCTCTGTGCGCCTTTGCAACAAAGTTCAATCCTCCTGGATGCAGGCCGCCTTGTTCAACAATCACCTGGACACACAGAGGAACGAGGAAGTTCGATTATCTCTCATCTAATGTTATTAACAGTGAAACCATTGATCTAAAAATTCCTCCTTTTTCATCCAATTCATCCAAGCCAAGCTTTGTTTTAATCTAATCTAGCATCATTCTAACAGATGCTAGATTAATGACTGATTCATCTAAACTAGCCATAGTAACTCATAAAGTGCAGTTTTAGAATTTTTATTGTTTTGAGCTCACATAGATTTAGACATAAAGAATAAATGTAATATTGTGGGGACCCAGCAATGCATAGCTAATGTTAAATATTGGCTTGTTGTCCAGTACTAATGTATTATCTGAAAAAGGCTCACTGCCAGTAATGCACATGCCAAGCTTCAACACAGACTGCACTAGATAATTTAGATAATCTCTGGTACTGGAAGCTTTCTGGTCATTTTCTAATAATATACTATTGTAAGTGACCAGAGTTCTGTTGACCAATCATCTTTGAGTAGGCTTTAGTTTCACACTAAACGGTCAATATGGATCGCAATCATCAGATATTCACTTGTAGCCAGGTAACACTGGAAGAGATAAAAAAAACAACAAAAAAAAAAAACACTGGCTACTGCTCCAAGTAGCCAAATCAGCAACCAACCTAATAAGCTCTCAAATTACTGTCATCTTCTGTCCAGTCTGCAACATTTACTTAGAATTTCATTTTATCAGAGGCAGGCAGACCAATTTTTTTGATGAGCATTACTGTATGCCATCTCCCAAGCACAAATCAGATTATAAAGCTAGCAACTACCTAGCTAACAATAAACATGCCACAGCACTTAGCTGCTAAAGACTTTTTCTACACTTTCCTAATGAGGAAGGAAGAAATGTGCCTGCCTGACAGAAATTTCCAGTCAGCAGCTAGCTAGTGAACAGAGGACTCAGCTAATAGTAATACATATTTTTACTGGACCCCAACCAACCTACACTACCTCTAAAGGAAGAGTGATCGCTGGATTTATATTTGTTGTATATTGTTGTACATGCGAGGCATCAAGAAAGTGTAACCACCTATTTAATCATTCCAACTGCTGCAGTTTACCAAATCTTGTAAATTTCACCTAAAATATAGCAAACTTAACTTATATTGACTAACATCACTTTAAATAAACCGTTATATATTTAATTAGCTTACTTTCATGACCAAGGTGGTGTTCCTGATGTCCAGGGGGCACTGATCTGTGTCCCACCCCAGGTAAGGTGTTGGAGTCAATCGATCCCAGCATCCCAAAACCGTGCACCAGCAAGCAAGAATGATTAAAAAAACAAAACAAACAAAAAGCATGAACATGCTACAAAGTTAGACTTCGGTTACTTCACAAGAGAGTGACTCACGCAGATGCCATGACAATATCGTGTCCTCCTAGAGTGGTGTGGTTGGGCTCAATTTTTAACTTAAAGTCACTGTCCAAACCAAAATGCTTTAGGAATCCTATAAGACTCATAGCATCTACAGAAAACAACAGACATAAGATGCAACACTGAAGGAGCGTATTGGCTTAGGTTACTTTATGATGAGCTTTGGAAGCCTCACTGTAATCATACTGGTGTTTGCTGGGCTCCTTTTGTTGGGGCGCAATCAGAAACTGACAACTCAACCCAATCTTCTCTTTGTAGTCTGCAGACAAACACGCAGACATGAAACAGAACAGACACAGCTGACAAACTCAAAACTCAAAGCCTGTCTGCTGTTCACGTGCACACTTACTGACAGCCATTTTGAAGGAGATGGCCATGTGATTGAGTTCAACAGCAACATCAGTGTTATGGATGGAGTGGAAACCTCTTCCTCCCCAAAAAACTAAAAAGGCAAAAATGTGCCGATTAAAGCGCCACTTACACAGAAGAGTCACAACATTACAAGATCGTAACCATCAAATCCATCATACCAAAGTTTTCTGCACCCAGCTTCTTGGCAATTTCCAGACTTTTTTTCACCTGAGGACCAGCATAGGCCAGCACATGGCAGTCAGGGTTAGTGGCTGCACCATTCATATACCTGTAGTACGATGTTTATAGACAGAAATCTGCATAACTGACTGAACCATTCATAACTTTCTGTGCTCCTGAAACTCAGGTTTAACAAAAAAAGAAAAAAGTGAGGTTTAAGGTATGACTACAGTGTTAACCTTAAGTGAGTAAAGAGGTTACAGGTGATCCACAGCAACTTCACTCCAGTCTGGTTCTGTAGCTTGAGAGCCAGGTCTGTTATTTCATCCAGATTGCGGTTGGACTCCTCCAGCGTGGAGCCCTCAGGGGCAATGTCTCTGTCGGGGGCACAGGGCTAAGCACTCAATTTCAGAGCACCAGAATAATACAGTATACAGATACTATTACCACTGAGTGAAAACACCCTCTTATCTCCCAGACCGTACAATTATACATAAAATTGTCGCAGAAAACATGTAGAAATAAAAGCATATGAGGTGATTATACTGTAGATAATGAGGGAATGTGGATAAAAATGTTCGTAATCCTCATATAGTTAATGCAATACTTTTGTTAAAACCCTTCAATTAAAACTGAAAGTCTGCACTTTAGTCACATCAGGACCTTTTCATTTTAAAATCATGATGGTAGTGTGCAGAAGCAGGTCTACAAAAATACTGGTGGCTGCCAGTGCTACCCCTCAGCCTCATCGTAGATGCACCTACAGTATAAATTAGATAATGTTAGGTCATTTTGAGAAAACCTGACCTCTGACCTTGAATTCAAGGCCACCGAGACTGAAACTCTTCCGATTGTTAGTAGATGCAGCTTTGGAATGAATGTGAAAATCCTATCTCACCTCATTCTCAAGTTATCGCATTCCCAAACTCAGATGTCCACGCCATGTAAGAGCTGAGTTTGTGTCTGTCCATAATTGTGACATGGATGAAGTTCCAACCATATTTTGAGCCTAATCAAAGCATCCTGGTAGTTCTAAGTATATCTGAAGAAAACTACAGCCCAGACTGCACTGGCTATTTTCATGAATTCAATGTATAACTACATGCACCCCATAAACATGGTACATTATGTTCTTCTACATTCCACCAGAACTTTGTCAGGTCAGGGTGAAATCAAGATAACTTCAGCTTTCTTACCTGTCATGGAAAGTGTAATATTTTACCTGTGAAAACAAACAGACGTCAATGAGGAATTATACTGTGATCTGGTCAGCTCTGAGATATTAAAAGCCTCACTCCAAGCTTGGTGAAAAACTCAAAGGCTGCACAGAGTCGCTTCCTGGCTGATTTCATAGGAGACCCTTTATTCCAGAGCCGGTGGTGGGTTGGAACTCCAAAAGGACCGGCACCTACCAAACAGAAAACAAGGCACTATTACAAAGGAGATGTGCTGATCTGAGAAAAGTAAAACTGTTTATGTGTGCATGAGTCAAAGCCTGCAGGACACATTTGTAACCATCGACCCTCAGACTGTTTAATGACTTGCACGAGTGTTGGCTAAATCGCAACATTACCCGGTCCACAGAAAGAGTGCCAGTAGCAGACTGAAAACCTCAACCAGTCCTCCATCGTCCTCCCCATCAGCACCTGCACACAGGAACACCGAGCTCCACACAGCCTCACACAACTCTAATTGTGCAGTCAAAACCATGACACAAACAGAGTTAGGTCAGCATGTGATTGTATTAACCTCCTGAGTGGCCCCGGAGCAAAAATGTACAGCTGACATTATGATCTTTTCCAATATCAAACTAAGACGACTAAAAACATCTGCATAGGTAAAGCAGTTTAGGTTGTACTGTGCAGTTAATTGGATTTTGAAACAGTGTGTCCTGGAGCATGCCATTATTAATGTCGCACTTTAATAACAAACAAGAAATAATTACATCAAATTCCAATTATTTGCCCACTTTGGTTTTCTACCCCTGAGTCTGCTTGACATATCTGTGTGTGTGTGTGTGTGTGAGTGTGTGTGTGTCTCTCACCTACCTCTTCTGCACTGTAGTGTTTAAAACACATGACATCACCAGGTCCAGCGTCGGGTTTATACTGGATTTTGGGAATTCCTGTGCAACATGTTTTTTAATATTTGTTTTAAAACATCCTAAGGAGTGACAGCTCTTTCAATATTAACTTTGGAAAGACCAGCCTGAGGATAAAAAGGCTCACAGATTTAGTTACTGCCATCAAATCACATGTAAAACACATTTTACAGACTTGTTTTTACATGATTCCATTTTATCTTTTATCTTCTTGTTATCATATTTCAGTTACCTTTCTTATTGCCTGCATCTAACCTTTCATTGATTTATTTACATTTTTAATTTTTTTTTTCTTTTATAATTATCTGTGTGCAGGCATCGTCTATTTGTTTAAATTGTTCCCTGTGAGTATTCCTTTTGTCTGTTCTGGTAGTTCATTATTATTATTATTCATCTTGGGAAGATGGGAAGAAATACATTTTTAAACAAGTTATTTAACTCAGAGTGAAGATCATATAAGAGTGGTAAAAGACCACAGACTGCAGCAGGACACTAAGCTTTAAGGTCTATAAACCCTTTTGGCCTCCCTCCCTCACACACACTTTACCGTTTCAAAAGTCTCTGTTTACCTGCAAAGAACTTCTCCTGCGCTGCCATTTTTCGGTCCGCACTACGAGCCCTGCCAGCAGGCGCTAATTTCTTTCGTCTTCCTCCCTCGTTGGTTCCACTACGCGGCCTCTGAACACGTACAGGTTTTCAAGATTCAGCAAAAGTTCGTCCAATACCAAAATTACCTTAACTATTATCAGTGCATATTATTTGAAAACAGTGATATATATAATTACATCCGGATGTGGCGACCCGTATCGTCTTTGAATTTGAATCTACATGTTTTGCTTGTTCACAGTCACACTGCAAAATGGGCGCACTGTTCATTTGGACATCAATTTATTTTTCATTCACTGGTCAAGGTTTGATCTAGCTTTAATGAGTCAAAAAAACTTCATAATGGTCACAAAGTGATGCAACTATTGGATATAGAGTGCATTTTAAGTGCCACTTGTACATCTGTACAAAATAAGACATTTGAGACTGCATGCTGACAAATGTCAGGGTTACTTGAACAATTATATACCTGGCTTTAGGTTCTAACACATTTTAGTCACACAGACTTATAATGTCATCTATGAACTTTTACCTATATAAAGTATACAGTACTATAGTGGAAAAGGGGCATAATATTTACCTTAATACACTGCAACGGCTGCACAGCAGCCAGTGGGTTCCCATCTTTTTGACACTGGTCACATTCCAGAATCTTTAAGATAAAATATTTATAAAGTATGAGTTTTTATTCTTATGTAATAAAATTACTTAATGGCGTTTTCTCTGAAAATCAATCAATCTAGCAACAGTACTTGATATGGATGTCTTAAAATCTCTGCCAGGTGTACAGGTTATTAATGTAATTACTTAAACATATTTATTTCTATTTTGCTAATGTACTGTTTGTCTTTTAGTTGCTAATAAAAAAAATTGCTGATTTTAAACACTATTTAACTACAACACAAACAGTTAATACATACCCAATTTTTAATGTCAACCGTCATACTAAACCAGTAAAATCCGGAACACACTGCTGCTAGCGTTTTCTGTATGCCAGTGTGTCCTCCTATTGGACATGAATGAAACTCATGAAAGATCCTCCTGGCATCGTCCATGGTTTTAACTACTCTTCTGGTTCCAAAAAAAGAGTTCTCCATCTACAGAAAAAAAAAAACTATTTACAATGTATTTAACCAAATATGTGATTTGTTAATATTAACAAAAAATTGCTGACCATTCAGTTTGAATTTTGAGGCATATCTTCTGAGGTTTTGCCTCTGAGCCTTGTCATATTCTGAAGGGTAGGACCCAGCAGAAAGTAACGAGTATATCTCTTCCCATTTCTTCTCCATATCTACAAACGTAAACAGACATTTTCTTTTGAGCTTCAATATGTGCAGCAAACAATGCATACAATTTAACCGATTAAATAACCACATTACCTAAGTAGACTTAACAGAATATAACGGTCTTATCACTCAGCAAGAATGCACTGCAAACTTTCTAACTTTCTAGATAACATCATATGTGTACAAGCTTAAATCATGACTTGAAACTAGACTTAACCGAAGCTGCAAATTCGATAATTTTGTGGAAAACGCAGACAGCACGTTCACTTTAAAATTAACAAACATTCACAATGGCTTAAAAAAAATCAAGTATCCACGGCAATAAAGTATCAATACTTACCTATTTTCCAAATATCAAAAACGTAGCATGAAATTACAGGCGGACGCTATCCCTGAAAATTCCGGTTTTGTGTTGTGCGCATGCGCAGCTCATGCGCAGAAGCAATGGGTAGGGTGGTTTGTCAGGTAGGATGGATTATCAGAACACAACCGCATCATCGCTGCAGATGAAGGTTTGCACATTTTAAGTGGCAGTTGTAAATTTTATAACCTGTAAAGAGAATTAGTGAAACAAATTCATTCATTTTTCTTTCTACTATATCCGCCCGTCCCTTTTTTTACATGAACAACTACAGAAACCACTTGTTCTTTTTGATGGCTAAAACGAAATGGTGCTTTACCGCCACCAACTGGCAGGGAGTGGGAATAACAAACAAGAAGCGTTCATATTCTCTTAAA